CAGAGATAATAATCACAATAGTAGTGAGTATAATTGGCTCTCCAGACGTGATGGTATGGCATTTCAATAATAGCAGGATGTACACTGTTAAAAGCGGATATTGGTTGCTCTGCAATGATGGGGATATGACGTCAGGAAATAAGGGCCACGGCATACAAGTACAGTGAAAGAAAATATGGGAAGCAGAAGTGGCGAGCAAGTTCAGAGTACTTCTATGGAAAGCTTGTCATGGTTACTTGCCCGTAACACACACCTCGGCGAGGAGGAAAATGCAAGTTGACAGTGTGTGTTCCAGATGCAACCAAACAGAAGAAACTATCCAACATGCTTTGATGACGTGTCCGAAGTGCGTGAAGTTTGGCAACTGGTCCATTTTAACTGGGACATGTTCAAAGCCGAGGAAGAAGACGATGAATGGATATTGAAGGCCATAAACACGTTGAATCATAAGCAACTCCAGCAGTTACCAGTCATGGTTGGGCAATCTGGAACGAGAGGAACAAAGAACTGCATGGGGAAGGAAGAAAAGAAGCATTAGTGGTGGCAACCTTCATTATGCAGTATATAGATGATTATAACAAAGCACATGTAGCTCAAAGCAATGCACCAAAACTGGTTACGGTGACCTGGAAAGTTCCTTTAAGGGTTATTTACAAGCTAAACTTCGATGGGGCCTTTGATAAGGAAAGGAAGAAGGGCGGGATAGGTATCATTGCACGAAACTCAGAGGGCGAGGTTATAGGAGCAATATCTGCTGTAGTAAACAGGGTTGTGGATCCATTTATGGTAAAACTATAGCAGTAACGAAGACGATCGAGTTTGCAGTGAATTTGGGTCTTCAATGTGTAAAGATTGAGGGGATGCTTTGGGAGTAATTAAAAGACTGAAGTCAACTGAACCGGATCTATCCATTGTGGGAGTCATAATTGATGAAGCCAGGAGCTGTGCTAGACTTTTAGCAAGATGCTGTTTCATGCACACCAGCAGAAATGGAAACACTGAAGCACATATGTTAGCTAAACATGGGCTTACTGTTACTGAGGACATGTATTGAATTGATGAAGGCCCTGAAATCCTCGATAACAATTCCATTGCTACTGATATTTTTCATAAATGAAAAGAAGAAATTTGATTAAAAAAAGCAAAAGATAAAAAACAAAAAAAAGTATTATAAGGCTATGGACCCAAAATGCATTAAAACTTTGTTTGGTAGAAAAAATAAAAAAAATAAAGATAAAAATCTTTTAATCAAATGATTAAATTACAAAACAAATAATAATTATAAATTTTAATTTTTAAATTAAATTATTTTTTATTATTATCTTACGGAATAAAGTCAGGTACTCAATAAAAAGATGAAAATGAACAGTGATGAAAAATATTTAATTTAATGGTAAACTTAAAAAAGTAAAGAATTGGTTGTCAAAACTTAATTATTGGATTAAAAAAATTCGTTATATATATCCCTGTCACTCTTCAATCAAACAAAGCCTAAAAGCAACAAATTTAATATATTTTATTTAAAAATAAGAGATTCGATTTGATATGGGTAATTTGTCGGTTTACTAATACCGAGAGAGGCGCTAATTCTATAGCAAATCACGTAGCAAAGTTGATGGGGGAGATTAATAAACAAAGAATATATCACCTATAATTAATGAAATAAAATTAATTTATCATAATTTAAACTTATATAAATTTATCAAGATTTGATTATTGCGAGTGCGTATTTTTTTTCTATTCAAAAACCAAATCTAAAATTTTTTGGATTAAAACAAAAAAAAATTTGTTGCAAGTGTCACAATTAACTCCTTAATAATTTCATTTTAAAAGAGTAATTAAATAATCAGTTCCTTATCCAAAATAATTATATGAATTTACTAACAATTTTATTTTATGCATAAATATAACATATAACAAAATTAAAAAAGAAAAACCTCAATAGACCTTGGATCAAATTTTATTATAATGTAATCCCTAAATATTATTGCTTTTGGTCATAAAAAAAAAAGGTGAAATTCTCTTTTTACTATTTACTATTCTTTTCACTTTCGATTTTTTATTATTTTTATTTACTTTTCGCTCCTTTCTTTTTTTCTCTCTTTTAACCAATTTTTACTTTTCTTTTTTTTTTCTTTATTAATCTTTCATTTTCTCTCTTTAACTTATCTTTTTTAAAATTTTGCATTTTTTCAAAAGAAAATCAAAAGCAAGCTCCGCTTTTTAGAATTCATGACCAACTAACGTGTTTTTTAGTCCAAATTTCATCACTAACTCCTCTCAACATCTTCTTTCATTCCGTCAATTTGGGTTTTCCTAAAACCTTCTCGATTCTCTTAGATTTACAAAAAATAATCTTAATTATTGCTTCAAAAGCTTCCATCTTTCAGCATACTGTTCTTCTCCCTCTTACCTTCTCCCTTACCAAATTTGAAAATCTAAAACTCCCTACAACAACTTAAACTGAATCTTCCCTTCACTTTTTTTTTTTTTTGTTGTTTTATTGCTTGCTTTTGTGTAGCTACTCTTGGTTCTTCTTATTGTTACCGGCTTTTTTTTTTTGCTTCCAAGTGATGTTTGCTTGCTTTTCTTTACTGGTGCTTGATTCTTGTTGTTGGCCGATTTTTTTTGCTGCCAATTTTTATAATTATAATATTTAGATTATTTTAGGGTAAAATAGTAATTTTGAAATTTAAAATTTTGGACTGATATCAAGCAACTATTCTCTCAGATCGCTTTAATATATAAATATAGATTCTTTGAATGTGTCAGAGAGACTTTTTGGGCTGAGCTTATGTTTAGTTCAAATTTCAAATGATTGGCCTGATTATATAAAATAACCATTTACTGGTGGGGCAATGGCCGAATAAAAATAAAGTTAAAGAGTCATTTTTAGGTGATTACAAAAAGTGTCCAAAAGTTTCAAAACTTGAAATGCCAAATTTGAAAGACACGAAGAAACTTCTCTCAAGATGTAGGTTTTTACAAATCCAAGATCAACGGTACATAAAAGGGCAAACCAAACCATATAATATACCACAAAGTGAAGAAGAGATGCACTAATAAGGTATTACGAAAACCATCAAAAGAAAAATGATAAGTTTCAAATGTTTCTCTTTCTCTTTGAGAGAAAAGTTTTGACAAAAATTGACTAAACCTATACTTTAGGGAGACAAGACAAGGTTTATCTATTAAGCTGAGTTGTTGGTGAAGCTAATATGACAAAAGAAGAAGGCATATTGTTGAAACAAGATCACATGTCATTGATAGAATAGACATGAAAGGTAATCGCAATAATCTTTCCATGATAAATAAATTAATAAAATAAAATAAAATTATTAATTGAATAAATTGAATAACCTCATACAATAATAATAAAAATAAAATATACTTGTTTTCAAATAATTAAAAATATAATAAAAATTTTATTAAATAAAAACAACTTTGAATAATTAATAAAAATAAAAATTTATCAATTATTTATTATATTTTTATTGACAAATTTCAAATTCAATTCATCAAATCAACTAACTATATATACTTTCTATTAAAAAACTTAAGGGGACATTTGGTTTGGACCACTTTTCTACTAAATTATTTTATTAGGTAATTTTATATTTTTTTTAATCAAACAAAAAATGTTACAATATCTTAAATCAACAAAATTCACAAATCAATATTTTTTTCAATATTATTTTTCTCAAAAATAACTTTTTTTTTTAATTTAAAAAATCGCAAGTTTTTTTATTAATTTCTATTTTAAAAATAAAAAATTTTAACCTGGGCGTCGCCGAACCCTTTTACTAATTTAATACATTGTTAACTCCTTTAGTGGATAATATGGCTTACACAATGACACATATTTTCTTAGAGTATGTTAAAAAATTAATAAATAAATATTATAAAAATTACATGATATTAATATTTAAATTTTATCTATAAAATTTAAAAATTACACCATTTTTATATGAAATTAACCATATTCATGCTCTTAACGTGCGTGAAATGAAATATATAAAAAAAATTAATCTGCTAATAATTTGATAATTCATGTTATCGTATTGTGTAAATATTATATTCGTGTGATATTTTATACAAAATCACCTATCATAATTTATGTCGATATAAAATATAAAATATAAATATTTAATTTTATTAAACTTATTTATAATTTTTTTAAAATTTTAAGTTGTATCTTTATTACTTTTATTCATATAACTTTTGTATTGTCTCACCGTGTTACCGTGTCACCGTGTCACCGGATCATGTTTTGTATTACCGGTGCCTATACATGTACCTCCCTTAAAAACTCTTTAAAAATATTTCATCTAAGTCTTACCTTGCGATGCACGGTCGTTGGTTCTTATCTTTTAGCCATTCAATACAAGTTCAATGTGTCACGGGTCGAGACTTAAGCTCCCAACTCATGCGGCTTCGGGACCCGGGCATTCACCCTTCCGACGTCCCAGATCAGCCTTCCGTCACGGTTCACACCCTTGTGAGGTATTGTCCGCTCTGGCCCTCTGACCTCACGGTTTTATCCTACAAAAGGCGCCTCACAAGGCGGAGATGGTGTGAACCCTTTTATACCCCAGCGACCTTCCTATTATGTTCGATGTGAGATTCAGGACTCCCCCTTTGGTCCGTGACATTCTCCCGCACCCAACCTCGTGACGCCCTCGTCACGGAGGCTGGCCACCCTGCCTACCTCCCTCGAGGTGCTTGGCGTGGATCGAACGGTTTAGGGCTGGCTCTGATACCACTTGTCACGGGTCGAGACTTAAGCTCCGAACCCGCGCGGCTCCGGGACCCGGGCATTCACCCTTCCGACGTCCCGGATCAGCCTGACCGCCACGGTTCACACCCTTGTGAGGTATTGTCCGCTCTGGCCCCCCTGGCCTCACGGTTTTATCCTACAAAAGGCGCCTCACAAGGCGGAGATGGTGTGAACCCTTTTATACCCCAGCGACCTTCCTATTATGTTCGATGTGAATGCACATGGCTGGCTTAGTCGCTATAAATTTCTTATCATAAGTGAGGGCGTTAAAGAGTAGTGGTGAACGCCTCAGCAAGCAAACTGATTAAATGGGGGAGGAAAACAAAGACAAAAAACCTCATGTTCTAATCTTTCCTTACCCTTCTCAAGGTCACATTAACCCCATACTCCAATTCGCTAAACGCTTGAGCTCCAAAGGCGTCAAAGCCACTCTGGTAACCACTGTCTTCCTCTCCAAATCCTGGTTTTCCGACCCGTCTACCTCTATTGATCTCCAGACTATATCCGATGGCTTCGATGAAGGCGGCTATAGTCAGGCTGGCAGCTCTGCAGCTTACCTGCCTACTTTCTGGTCCGTAGGCCCCAAGAGTTTGGCAAGTTTAATCAAGAAACTTTTTGATAATGGTCATCCTGTTCATGCCCTTGTCTATGATGGGTTTTTGAATTGGGCACTTGATGTTGCAAAGCAGTTTGGGATACCTTCGGCTGTGTTTTTTACTCAATCTTGTGCTGTCAACAGCGTGTATTACCATGTTAGTAGGGGACTTCTTCAGCTGCCACTCCCTGGGCCCAAGGTTTCCCTTCCTGGATTGCCTCCCCTTGAAGTTTCAGAGTTGCCATCTTTTGTTGCTCTTTATGGATCGTATCCGGCTTGGTATGATGTGGTTGTGAATCAGTTTTCCAACGTTGATGGAGCTGATTGGGTGTTCTTTAACATTTTTTACGAATTAGAGAAAGAGGTACAGTCAATAGTACTGCGTATATCTTTTTTTAACACTGATTTATAGATTATTAACTAGATCCTAAAAGCTGGTTTTTGCCTTGTGGATTTTTATCAGGTGGTGGATTGGATGTCAAAATTCTGGAAGGTGATGACAGTAGGACCAACTATTCCATCTATGTACTTGGACAAAAGACTCGAAAATGACAAAGACTACGGTATGCATCGCTTCAAGCCAAACACTAGTGCTTGCCTAAGTTTTCTAAGTGGCAAGCCAAAGGGTTCAGTGGTCTACGTGTCATTTGGAAGCTTTGCATCGCTAGGAGTTGAGCAGATGGCAGAGCTAGCTTGGGCTTTGAAAGGGAGCAACTGCTATTTCTTGTGGGTTGTGAGGGCAACAGAAGAGGCCAAGGTCCCAAACAATTTCATAGAGGAAACCTCAGAAAAGGGTTTGATGGTGAGTTGGTGCCCTCAATTGGAGGTGCTGTCTCATGAGTCAACAGGTTGCTTTCTCACACATTGCGGCTTTAATTCCGTTCTTGAAGCACTGAGTCTAGGAGTTCCGATGCTGGCGATGCCGCAATGGACCGACCAAGGCACTAACGCGAAGCATGTGGAGGATGTATGGGGAATTGGAATTAGAGCTAGCCCTGATGAGACAGGTTTTGTGAGAAAAGAGACAATAGAGCAATGCATAACGGAATTACTGAATGGGGAAAAGGGCAAAGAGATTAAGAAGAATGCAATGAAGTGGAAGAATTTGGCCAAAAAGGCGGTTGACGAAGGTGGAAGTTCTGATAAAAGCATGGATGAATTTATATCTAAACTAGTCTGCGACTCGTAGTTTTTTTTTTTTTTTTAATTTTTATTTAAGCTTGAACCCTACTTTCATATTTATCTCTCGTCTAGTCGAAGAAAATATGACGGATATTTATATCTGTAATTTTCAATTATCTACTTTAATATCATATCAGTGGTGGAAACTATTAAGATTTATCTTTCATGTATGTTAGGATTTAAGAGCACTTCCTGCATAATGTGATAACGATCCTGTATTCACCAAACATCCGTATGGATTGAATAATCGCACGGGATGTCGTATGGTATGGATGAGCTGTTTTTTTGTCTGCTTTAATTTTCACGTTTATGGAGGATTGTTGGAGTGGCCCCGTCTCAATGTACCACCAGGGTGGAATTTATAATTGAACTTTATTTTATTTTATTTTTATGGAAATTATTATTAATATATAGCTTCATACATCTATGAATATACCATTTACAAGAATATTATCTTGTGTATATTTATGTATCTTTTAATTCTTTATTTTTTTTCCTTTTTGGTCAAATAACTTTTAATTTTTCATTGAAAATTTTCATTAAAAATGTTAATGAGTAACGTATGAAATGAATAGAGTATTTTTATTCTTTTTTTACATTATATTTATTTTTGTATTCATATTTAATAGATATTTTAAATTTATTTCATTTTTATGAGTATTTAATGGGTTACACTTAGATTTTATAAAAAAAAAAAATAGCTTTTTTTGGTTATTTTTATATAAAACGCTTATGTAATTTTTTTTACTATATTAATATATATTTTTAAATAAAAATATATTAATTTTAATTAATCTAAAATAATTTTTTTTTGCTAAATATATAAGATATGAATAAGAGTACATAACAGATATTATTGTATTCGTCATCATTCCTTTTTTGTAAAAATTCAAAATTATACCATTTTTGTTTCAAAATTTAATATATATCTTTGTTTTCATTCAAATAAAAAATCAAATTTTTACCAAATTTAAATAAAATTAATTGAAAAAAGTAACCTTTTGGGCCTATACCAAGGTGGTTTAGTTGATACACTCGACCGCCTTGACAATAAAATATTTATGTTCAAACATCAATACTTTTCTTTTAATGTCATCCAAAATAACAGAACGTAAGCCTTTCATAAAATAATAATAATAAAAAGCTAGTATTAAAAGTTAATTCATATTTGCATATGGATAGGAGAAAGAATTTGGATAAAAGTTATCTAAAATTTTGTGAAAATTTCCTATACAAGTGTTTAAATAAAAATTAATTTCAAAATCAATAGAATAATAAAATTTTGAGAAAATTAATAATATGAACAATATGTTGATTAAGGAAATAATAAAATTAAAAGTGCTACCATCTTAAATAAAGATTTAAAACTACCGTAGTTTGGTAAAAGCAAAAAAAAAAAAAGAAAACGTGATGCGAGTGTGACAGCCGCCAACCGGCAATTTGGTGCAAAAAAACAGGAAGAAAGAAACGTAGACAATTGGTGCACGTGTTCTGAAAAAACAAAATATAAAATCATTTATTTTTATGGTTCCTTCGTCGGGATCGAGCGTCTGTTGACTCTTGCGCTCTCAATTTGTCCCCTCAACGATATTTGAAGCTTATTCTTTTTTTGGGGTACTGGAATGGTAAATGCTTATAGATATCATTAAAGATAGTTAATATATTAGTATTTTTTTAAAAAAATTAATTTGATGTATTATTTTTTATAAATTTAATATTATTAGATTATACAATAAAAAATAATATTTTTTCATCCCATAAATCTCATTTATTCTATTTCAAATTTTGAACTGTGGCTTCTTATTGGAGTATTGTTCCTTTGAAAACATGAATAATTATCAATATTAAAATTGCGTTTGGTATGGGTAGGTCTCTTTACAATCAAACGTGATTTAATTACTATGATTAAATTATTTTGTTTGTTAATAACTTGGTATTTTACATAATAATAATCTTAAAATACTAAAAATGACTAAATCACTATCATGTATGATGATATGAATTTCATTGAAAATGATAAAAAATTTTATGATCTACTAAGAGTAATCTTCAAAATAAATTTAAAACAAATTTACCTTGAAATGGTGCCACCATAATATGTTTTAGTCTAGAATTTTAAATTTTTGACTTAAGGGTTCAAAAAACCCCTAAATAAAAATTGAATAATTAATTAAACATTTAATTTTTTATTGTAATCAATAACGTCTTTATACTTTTATTTTTGATCAAATAAGCCATAAATTTAATGGAAACTACTTAAATTGTTAAGTTGAATTACATGTGGCATTTAATAAACATATGGCACATGATGTGGCCAATTTTATTTTGAATTACATGTGGCATTTAATAAACATATGGCACATAACATGGCCAATTTTATTTCAATGTGGCATATGTCGTGGAAACCATGGCTCTTGGCTAGATTTTCCTACCATTTTTAGACACTTGTCATTTTATGATTGATGGTAAGATAAAATTTTAAAAAAAAAAAAGAAAACCAAAATCCCTAAACCCAAAATGATAATCCATTCTTCCTCCCTTTACATCTTCATCATTCATCTTTAATTGCATCATCTTTCTCCTTTGATATTTCATCTTTATCCTTATATCTTCCTGCCCTATCTTCATTTTAATCTTTTTACAGTTTTATTGTTATATCTTTATCTTCATCATGTTGCATTTTCATCTTTCTATAGTTTGAAATTTGCAGCTGATGTCTTTGTCATCCTTGTCATATGTAATTAGTCAGAGTATTGTGCATAAATGTGTAGAATGGAAGTATGAGGGAGAAGTAGTCTTCCGTCATTACAAACTGAAATGCCGAAGGTGGACAACATGGAAAAGGTTGAACATTGGTAAAAGGTTCCACAATTATCCTAATTACAAGGTTGGTGATTGAAGGTTTTTTAGTTGGCATGATGACCAATTCAGTGAAAGGGCCAAATCTCTGATATATGAGTTGGAAAAGGAAAATGATGAGTCAAAGAGATGAAAAAGGGTTTATGGTTGAAAAGTGAAATTGATGAACAAAGCTTGATGGAAAAGTTGAAGTCAGAAACCAAACTAATGGCAAAGAAGATGAATTTGGCAATGGAAAAGGCAAATCAATTGAGAAGGAAAAAATATGTTTTTTGTTGGGATGTTAATTTCTTGGGTATTTTTTTCTTAGATTTTGCTAGTTATGTTAAGATGTAAGCTATGCTATGAACTTTTGTTAAAAGCAAAAGTTGTAAAACCATATTTGAATATGATGTCTTTTTATGAGTGTAGTTATGTTTATGAAATTCCTAGTTTGAAATGAATTATCTAGATTTAGTATATGAATTTGCCTATGTTAGTAAAAAAAAAAATCCATTTAACTAAACAACCAATTCCAAATGGTCCATTACTGGGAATAAAATGTTCACATTACAGAACTATCCAAATGGTTTTTCAATCATGAAGCAACTATAAAAAAGAATCTTAAAACCATCAAAAGCTATATTTTAAAAAGGAACAAACTATCAAAAACAACCAATTATCAAAAGCTATATTTAAAAAAGAACCAACTGTCAATATCCTTTAGTAGGAACCTTTTGTCATATATAGCTAACACAAAAAAAAAAAAAACTATTAAGAGCCTTTAGTTGGCTTATTTGTCATGTATAGTTAAAATAAAAAGAACTATCAAAATTTTAAACTTTTCAAATTGGTTTAGCTTTTGAACAAGTTTAAGATGACTATGTCCCAATTGGATTCTTTGGTGGTCTTCTCTTATTTTTCTTTAGTTCAACATCCTTTTTGTTGTTGTAGTTGCTTTATGGTCATAGCTTTATTTCATTTCCATTTCAAGCCTTCTCTTTTTTAAGTATGATTGCATGCAACATGATCTTAAGCTCTAATTTGCTTTTTTTGTGTTGTAGTCTTCTAATTTTCTTTACCAAGCTGCCCATAAAAGAATTAGTTTAATTAAAAGGCATGAAATTTAATTATAGGGATTATGGTCAATAAAACGTGTTTATTTACATTTCAAACTTGTTCACCAGTTTCTAGAATGGTATATAACCCAATCCCTTCCATCTGCTTTATTTTTTTGTCTAATTTGTTGATTTTTGGAACCAATTTGAAGACCATCAGAAATAATCTTTTCATTCCTTTACTGATTGAAACTATTGAAGCAATACATTGTTGTAAGTTTTCCTTTTCGTTTTCCTTGGTCTTGGTTATTATGCTTGATTGACTATGATCCTAAAGTAGACTATAATTTGTAAGTAACATGAAATTTTTTAAACCTAAACAAAATGAACTAAAACACATTCAAAGTTAAAGGATGATTATGTATAACTACATATTTTCTTGTCTTGAATGTGTTTGTGATAATTGTGCATTACTACTTTATGGGTTGGTGATATTTGCTTAAAATTATCAAGAAATAAACTCTTTTTAAATTAAACCTAAAATACTCATTATTAGACATTCCTGTAAAAGAATGAAGTAACTTTACCTATTGTAAGGAGTTGCTTGTTCTTCTTTTTGGACAACTTTGCTTGCTGTGTTCGATTTGAGCACATAAAGTACACTTTATAATCATGCCTTTTTTAGTATATTTATCACTTTTCAATTTTTTTGGCTTATTCTTATATTTGGCTTTTTTTTTTTTTAGGTTTACCCAGCATGACTCTAAAATATGGAGGATGTAATGGCCCCCTCACTAGCTACAATACATGGCTGTAACAAGCAAGATACTTGTCTTTACCTTACCAATTAGAAACATAATGATCTAGCTTCTTCTTGTCATGATACATAGTACAAATAGCATGAAGGCAAGAAATTCCACTAAGATCTCATATTTTATATATGTATTTTAACTATTTTAAACTCACTATATCTCGATCAGCACTTTAAAGTACCTCAAATTTACCATCACCATTTTATTTTAGTCTGTAATGAGTTGACAGATCCATATTTTTCTCTAACTTCACCAATACATTTGGTGATATGTTAGTTGGCCAATTTTGTGCCTAAGTCTATTTCGTATGCATCTTTTTCATCAACATGACTCTAATTTCATCTAACTTACTAATAATATACTTGGATCTTGCATCAATTATCCAATTATTGAAAGCCTCAGCAAGATTGTTGTCCACTGCATCACACTTAAAAAAAGTTTTAAAATATACTTTAAACCAATGTTGCATAAGAACTTCTAAATCATCATTAACATATCTTGATCCCATGGCTTTTAATTTCTTTAGCTAATCATCAAAGTCTTCAACATATGTAGCCCTCTTAGTATTCTAAAACTAGATCTTTTTATTCTCACCCTTCTATTTTTTTTGCCACTTGACATAAATGTGTCAAGCACACATTCTATACTCTGCCAGTGGAGTGACTTCACTAACTTTTGGTATCAGTCCCCAGCAATAAATATGATTTATCAGATCTTAAATCATACAGTTTACACATAACAAATCCAAAAACAAATATAATAACATATTTTTTGCATATATGAAATTAGTGTTAAGCTTTATCATCCACATAGTCTAGATTAACTATTAATTTGGTTAGAAACCATCTCCAGGATGTTTTGTTTTCTACTTTAACTACTACCTAAGCAATTAGGAACATATGATTATTTGCATATCTGTCTACAGTCACTAATAGCTTTCTCTTACATATGATTTTTAAAAAGCATCCATCAACACCTATTATTGGTCTACATCTATTTTTCCATCCTTCTTTAATAGCTCTTAAACATTCATACATTCTAAAAAACATAACCCTCCTTACATCTTCTTTATGGACTTATATTGAAACTGTACTACCAAGACTAATATCCATAAACTTTTTAGCATATCCCCATAAATTGGCATACTCATTCACATAAACCTTATTTTTCTCCTTCAACACTACTCTTTTTACTCTTTGACACATATTATGATTTGCATAAACACCTAACTCCTTTTTACACAATTTCATCAAATCTACAACCTTCATAGTAGGTTATTATATAATTCTATCCTTAAACCTCTTCTATATGTCCTTGGTAGATAGTAAACAACTGATGTTGCTTTTAAAACATCTATACTCTGGATGGTAAGTCTTTACCATATAACAGTTATTTTTAGAATCAAAATTAGTAAAAAGCCTTAATAGACAACCATCCGTACAACCTAACCTAGTTCTTTTTAGTTTATTTTTTAAAAATTTCAATTATACTTCCTTTGTAAAAGCATATTTCTTGACAGCATCTTTAAACTATTTATTATTCATAAATTTCATTCTTGATTCCTATAATGGAATTACACAATTAGGATCATATCTAGATCCACTTGATGTCTTTCTCATAGATGGGTTAGACTCACCATCGGATTGCTCACTGTCTGGGCATTTTTTAGGATTTAAAGAATTTATATAATCAATGTCATGCTCTTGCACCTTTCCTTCCATCTTACCTTTTATGTCTTCATCTATAACCTCACATTCATCAACTTTTTTAGCACAAACCTCACTATTTTTTTTAGTCTTAATCTCGTTTCCTCCTTCACCTAATATATCTGTTACATTAGTTACCTCAATTAAAATTTTTAAACTACCCATATGTCTTACTTTACCTTTGTCTTTTTTGAGATCTCTTAATTTTTGCCTAATGGTATGGATTTCTTTATCATCATCAGTAATGCAGTTAATATCATATAAGAAAACATCTTTATCTTTATCTCCACATTCCTTATTTAATAATTAACTACCAACCTCATCTTTATTAAATGTTGTATCCTAGACTACAAACTCAATTCCTTCATTAATATGTTCTTCACCAACCCTAGTTTGACTACTCAAGTTTGTAATACCCTTTTCGTTACCCTTACCACCTAAACTGCCATCACCCCTTATATTCTCTTCACCCTCTATAGTATTCTTAAATTCTACATTACCATCCAAACCTCGTATATTACTACCCTTACCCATTTTAGTCTCTTTATTCTTTACATTAACCTTTTCTATTAAAAGAGGTTCAGAATAAGGCTCACAACATTATGCTTAACATATATGTCTATAGTGCTCTTATATAATAAATGATCCATCAACTACATAACAGTCCTATCATCATGTATCAATACTAACCCATCGACATTAAACTTAGTATTAGGGACCCTATAGTAAACATAAGTTAAGTACACATAGCCTAATTATTTCCTAATAGGATATTCTATCAGAATCAAAATCAGGTTTAGTAACAAATTGATCACCATGGAAATATCTTAACACATAAATAACTCCAGATTCGTCATCCATTCTACATTTTATAATAAAATAATACATAAACAGACAAATAATGACTATATTAATACAAAAACCATGTAAAGCAGAAAACTTTATCACGCATAAATAGAAAACACTGAATAATGCATAAACAAACAAACCCTGAATATATTAAGTAGACACAATAACATTTTATCATGCTTTAGGACCCATTTAGAAAAAGTATACCCCAAACCCCTATACGACATACAAATAGACAAGCATAAATAGGACCATTGTACTATCGTTTTTAACTTTTATAAAGTAACTTTAATCATATTAAGTCTTTTCTATTCAAAGGAATCTCAAATAAAAAATGAGTTAGAGAAGAACTTACCTCATAACCTATTGAGATTTAATTTTATTAACTTATCACTTAAGATGAGATAGAAAACCATATTCTTCGAAAATAGATAGCTTTCTAGATTTGGCTTTAGGGTTTCAACAATTGCACTTTCAACTTTCGAGATTTGGCAACAAAGGATTGAAAGTTTAAATTTTGTTTAGGGTTCAAATGTTTAAGGTCAAATGTTCAAATATTTGAGAAAGGATTAGAGATTTTAAAGGGTAACATATTAGAGATTTTTTTTTGTCGAAATATTAGAGATTTTAAAAGGGGTTTTTTCAATTTTATAATTTGTTTTCATTTTCAAATATTACAAATAAATCTTTAAAACAAATCATAAAAAGTCACATGTGTAAAAATAGTGAGAAAATCCAACCAAGAGTCACGTTTCCACGTCATATGTCACATTGGAATAAAATTAGCCACATCATGTGACACGTATTTATTAAATGCCACAAGTAATTTAATTTAATAGCTTAAATAGTTTTTATCCAATTTAAAATTTATTTGATCAAAAATAAAAAGTATAAGGGTTTCATTGATTACAATAAAATATTAGAGACTTAATTAATTATTTAATTTTTTTTAAAAAGGCTTTTAAACCCTTAAACCTAAATTTTATAAGTAAATTTCTATTTTTTAATATTTTATACAATTATAATCATGAAAAAAATTTTCCGATTACTTTAATTTAGCTGGTATTGACTTCCAATTTAAAGGTTCTCACCAATTCATAAAAGGGAAAATAAAAAGTTGCAAAATAATGGAAGAAATTTAAGAACGGCTTCGTCTTGTCTGATAGCTGCTGATCTTTTTGTCAAATATCTGAAACACAAGGTCGAGTTACAGTAGGGGAGGATTTTTATTTGTTATAACGAGTCTTCTTGTAATCAATTACCAGCAGGCATTATCAACATGTTGGTTTTTTTTTTTTTTAATTTTTTTTCAATTGATAACAAACAAAGCATTATCCATTTGTTGTGATTTTAATAAATCTGGTTTTGTGGTAGAGAACTTTTGTTAAGAACACTTTTTCTTTTTCTTTTTTAACAATTCGGTGCATATTGATTGTTAAGCAGGCCCTCTTCGGCCTACTGTGATGTAATTGACAAACCAAATCAAATTCATAACAAAATAAAGAGCAGCACAGACTTGGGATTTCTAAAATTAGCAAAAGAAGAAGGAAAAAGAGGTTGGTGGTTCACGGGAAGCAAAGAACAACTCTTGGGAGAAGCAGCAGAAATCTAGTTTCATGATTGAAGAACTAAACCCTTTTCTCTCTCTATTTAATAAAAGAATTAATCCAGAAGAATATATTCATGAAACCTAACCTGTCCATGTCCAATTGAATTTGCCATCACCTTTTTATCAGCAGAGTAAAAGATTATGTTTACAGACGAGGGCAATAAAAACAATGTAGTATGGTATTGCTCAATGAGGTTTCCAGTACAAACCATCAGCAATCAATATTATTTTGTCTATCTGCATCTTCCACCAAGGAGTTCACACAACCAATTAATGGAACATGAAAGAATGACAAGTAGTGTATAACGTATTAGCGTCTTCTTTTGTGCTTTTGAGCTATGTATGCACTCAGACAGCAGCAAAGCATGCAGACGGTGAGTGATAACTACAGCTATGTTTAGAAGAGAAAATCAAAATACAAAGTGTGACACTTTAAGGGGTATCAAGCATCAATATGAGAAAACTAGAAGATGACAGCCACACAGCATCTACACATACTTTATAGCTCTCCGCAAAATGAAGGAAAAATAATTAAAATAGTGAAAGTTACTAAAATCCCAAAAAAGATGCTGATCTCAACAAGTACTACCAAGTAAAATGCACAAATCATTCATGATCTTTGTGCAATATTTCATTTTCATGTGTGAACTTTAAAACTGGATTTTGGATTGCGACCCTTTAAAATTGTTCCAAATCAAGTGAATATGCCACCTCAGAGTAATGTGGAAGTCCACTTGGCATAAATCCTACTCCAAAAATTCAAATAGGTCACTTTTTTTTGCCACAAGAACATCCACATGGACATCCATGTGGCATTGAGGTGGTAGATTCCGATGAATTTTAATGGTGGTTGACGAAGTGAACAAACTTGGAACATTTTAAAAATGTCATACATCCAAATTTGAGTTTTAAAGCGTAATGATGAAAATGAAATATTGAACAAAGGTCAAGGAAAATGGAAAAGCAGAAGTTATGCTGTAAATACAGTAGTATCAGCAAGAAAACATGCATTCAATTTTAACTCTTAACTATAGCCTGAACATGCGACTTGCATGCTGGCATTCATGCCGGTGCACAGCGATACTCAACGGTGCATGCGAGAAATCTGTTATTAGTGTTGTATGTCAAATTTAAGATTCATAATCCAGAAAGTGCAATAGGAACAGCAGTGACTCATAATTCATCAATTAAAATCAAGACAGGGAAAAGACATAGAGTCCCACAATTGTAAGTTGTCTAGCTTATGTTATGTACAGCAGTCACTTGATGTGAATCTTATCATTCTGCATACAGAAATAAAAGGAGAAAGCCCCTAGCAAGATATAATATCACATTAATGAATAAGGAAAACAGAAATCACACAATTATAAACTGATCTTACTTACATTACATCTAGCATTCGCTTGGTGTGAATCTAATCATTCTACATACACAATAATTCAGGGAGAAAGCCTCAGGAGATAAAAGTATCACACTAATAAATCTAAAGTTTTTCCTCCAGGGCACTAATCAAGGATTATACTATGAAATAAAAGACACAACCTAACATAGATACTTAAAAACTATAACTAATGCCATTACAATGAGTAATAAATGTAGAAAGTTGAAATAGTAAGCAAAGCATTAGAAGTACATGTAATCTCAACCTTTATTTAAACAAGCACAAGAACAAATACCTACACATGCACTATGCAAAGATGCAATACCCAGCATATCCCATATCTCTTCACTTATTCTCGTCGACTTCTCGAGCAACAATAAGTTCCTCCATACAACCAACATCACCAATATCTGAAGGCATCAAAATTTCATCCTCAATGGTAAAATTGTATCGCTCCCCAATAGCTCTTAAAAGCTGGTATATTTCAAACATGGTAGGCCTCTCCTTGGCAGGTGGCAATACACAATTGCATGCTACTTTAAGAAATTGGAAAAGTTCATTATCAACACCCTTCCCTACCAAGGACGTGTCAATAGCATCTTGAAGCTTTCCATCATTTGATAACAGTGAAATCCATTCTACCAGATTTCCCTTGAAGCTTTCAGGAGCTTTAGCTACATGGGTAGGTCTCTCACCGGTCACCAACTCAAGAAGGACAATTCCAAAGCTGTAGACATCTCCTTTTGGAGTGGCCACCAGAGTTCTTGTATATTCAGGGGCAACATAACCTAAATCCCCAAACTCACCATTCACAAAGGTGCTCAGATGCGTGTCAATCGGGTTCATGAGCCTAGCAAGACCAAAATCGGATATTTTGGGTTCAAAATCTTCATCTAGTAAGATGCACTTTGAGCTTATATTTCGATGAAGTATACGAGGATTGCAGTTGTGGTGGAGCCATGCAAATCCTCTGGCAGCCCCTATACCGATTTTAAGCCTTAAGGACCAATCCATAGCCTTTTTAGTATCTTCTACAAAATGCAAATTATCATTGAGAGTCCCATTTGCCATGTATCTGTAGACTAAAAGCCTCTCCTTCTTTGCCACACAGAAACCTAGAAGGGGAACTAAGTTACGGTGTTTCACATTTCCAAGAGTAGCCATCTCAGATGCAAATTCTTTGTCAGAGTGTTTAGAATCCAGTAACCTCTTAATCATTAGTGAGGTGCCATCTTCAAGGACTCCTTTGTACATAGTCCCTGTTCTTCCTGCCCCGATGATATTATTTTTGTTGAAATTGTTAGTGGCCTTCAAAAGATCACTTAATCGCATCTTGGAAACTGCCTTTTCAAACATGGAAACCTGAAATAACATTACCTTATGAGTACATCAGAGATCAAACCATAAGAAAAGAAAAAATAACAAATTGCAGTTTCTAAAAAGAATGAAGAGTATTAGCTCCAATTTCATATGGATATTAAATTAGCTTACCTTAGTGCCTTTAGCTCCCTTTAAGCTCTTTGTCCATTTGTTTCCATCCGGATCATCATCCTTCTTCCTCATGATAGATACTTTGCGGAAATAGAAGATCAGAAAAATACCCACACATATTGCAGCAACTGTCACCCCAGCAATAGCAGCCCCAGCAATAACTCCAGTTTTAGGGCCCTTTGAAGTCGACTGACACGGATCCAAAGGCTTCCCACACAGTCCTAGATTATTTGCATAACTGTCTGGTGATAAAACCGGTAAAGTTGGAATTGGGCCTGTCAAGAGATTATTAGCTACGCTAAATGTTTTCATCCGACTGAGCAAAACGAGCTCTGGAGGAATCTCACCCGTCAATTTGTTATTTTCAAGTTTCAAAATGTTTATGAAGCTACAATTTGCGAGGCTTTTTGGGATATTTCCAGAGAAATTATTAGATGAGAGATCAAGGGAAGTGACAAACGGGAGAATTGCAGAGATATTAGATGGAATACTTCCATAGAGATGGTTGCTTGAAAGATCTAAGCCTGTCATACTTGCACATTTTACGATTCCTTGAGGAAACTCACCCTTGAGTTCCATATCTGAAAGCCTGATATTCAGAACCTTATTCTCATCCGGGTGCCAACATTCAACCCCTGTAAATCTACAAATAAATCCTTCAGTATTGTTGTTGAAATTCCATGAAGAATTTAAGTAACCTAAGGGGTCCTCAAGCGAATTTTGGATGCTCTTCAAACAATCGATATCCTCCGGAGTAGCATAGCTCAAACTACAGCCAAGCAGTAACCATATGAAAGCACTGACAAGAACAGCACCAACTCGGCTATGCAACACCATGATCATTAAGAAACCCCTCAAATCGAAACTGAAATGGTGGATTGCAGAAACCCACTTGTATAGATAATAACAGCTTAACAGAGATTAAATGCCAAATCCATAAACCATAGTTCTCCTAACATTTAAACCTGAACAAGTTTAAAAAAGAAACAAAATAAAAGGAAATAAAATCAAATTCACCTTTCATAAATATCCAAAAACACCAAGAAAAAAAGCTCAAAAATAAAAACAAAAAGAGCATATAGATCAATAATTGAGCTGATAAACCACCAAATTCACAAAGACTAACACAAAAGATAGAAACCTTACACAGTGAAACTTAAGCAAACCGGTTGAAGTTGACTAATTGACTTAGGTTCTGATCAATATAAGAGAATATCAACAAAACCCAGAAGAGGAAATTAAAAAAAAAAATGAAACTTTGGAACAAAAATTCAAAGACCCACCTTAGATTTCTCAGTTTTAACTGAAGAAGATCAAACAGGCAAAAGGGTGTTGGAAACTACAAGGAAGCATCCTTCTTTTCCACAGATAAACTAAGAGAGACGACCCACAATAGTTCATAAAGGAAAAGGAGAACAGAAGCCAAAGTCTACATCATGGTTTGAATATTCAAAAGCATAATTGAAAACACGAAATAAAAGCATTAAAGAATTAAAAAAAAAAAAAAAAGAAGTGAGATATGGGTTAACGAGTGTGAACTAAAGATTGAATTTTTTTTGGGGAGGTTCGGGTCAAACAAGGGATGGCCAGTTTAATTGCTTTGGCAGTTTCTTTTTCCAAGCCACGAAGGAGACGACTGGACTCAGAGAGGAGACAAAGACCGTTTGGTGGCTTTTCGCTTGACTCGCTTTCCACTGAAAAATTTCCGCTTAAAGATTATTAAACAAAAAAAAATGTTAATTCTGAGGGCGAGTGAAAACCATAGCCATACAGTGAGTTCAAGATATATTTGTTAAAAGAGCTTAAAAAAATTCTTCAATCTTCTTCCTTTATTTTTCATTGCCGTCCATTATGGTTAGAGTTTGTGGTTAAAATGAACCGCCAATTCCATTATGACGCCTCTAAATGGAATAGCAATAGAAATTTAAGAAATTTACAAGTGAAAGAGTGCGATTTCTGAAGTGCGTTTCACACGTATATCAAATGCCAAAGTAAAAGGGGCAGCGTTGGAAAATGATTTCCATGAAGAAGAAGTCTTGGTCTTTGACATGGTTTTCCTAATCCTTCCAGGAAAAAACAGGAATGATATTTAAAAGAAATGTAAACTTCGAATAGTTGAATAAGAGGTAGTGGAGTATTATTGTTTTTTTAATTAATGGATTAATTTAGATATATATATATATATCAGGATCATTGCACAACAATCTTCTAAGACTAATAGGTAGATGAGAGAACATATAAAAATCAAGAAAATTTATTCCACACTAGAATTAAGCACACCCACTACGTGGGTGAAAAAAAATTTTTAGAAAAAGAAAAAAAAATATTTTGAAGAGATTAATATGTTAAAAGAAGAGAAAATTTTTTGCTTTATTTTTTATTTTTTGTTTTCTAAAAAACATATTTGATAACTAAAAATAAAATTATTTTTGAAAAATGTAAAAATAAAAATAAAAAAATTTAATAATATTACAATTAATGATATCTAATTATAAATATAATATGTATTTATTGATTAATGACAATAAAAAATGTTTAAATATGATAATTTGTAAAACAAAATAAAAAAAGTAATGTATATCAATTATTTTTTTAATTAAAAATATTTTTTATTTTTATATTTTAGTCTATTTTTATTTTTATTTTTATTTTTAATTATAAATATGTTTTCACTTATATTTTATATTTAAAAAAAACAAAAAATAACTTTATTTTTTAAAATCAAACTCTATGATTGATTTTTTAAGTGGATAACTTTTTTCTTAAAGTAAGTGGATGGCCTTTTTTTTTTTTTTTTTTAAGAAAGTGGAGGACCATTTCTAAACGCGTGAGACAAAATAAGAGAAAGAGCTATTTGCATCTTTTTTTTTTCTTTTCAAACTTTAATTATTTTTAAAATTTTTTTAAACAAGTTTTGAAAATAAAATTTTGACAAATCTTAAAAGTTTTTGAAAATTCATCTTCAAAATTTTTTAAAGGTTTTAAAAAATTAATTTCCTTAAATTTATGAAAACTTTTAAAATTTTTTAAAAATTTATTTTTAAAAATTTTGAATCGCATCAAAATATTTCAATATAAAATCTTACAAAATTAAATACAAAATCAAATGAAAAAATAAAAAGAATTGATTTACCTTTTATTTTATGTTTTTTTTACTTCAAATGGGTAGGATTTTTAAAGATTTTTTTACTTTTAAAAATTTTAAATCATTTATTTTTTCTATTTTTTTATTTAATTTTGTATTTAATTTCATAAAATTTTATGTTAAGATATTTTGATACATTTCAAAAATTTCAAAAATAGATTTTCGAAAACCTTAAAGATTCTTAAAAATTCAATTGTGAAAACTTGTTCGAAAGAGAAAGAATAATTAAATAATTTTACTTAAAATTTTTTTTTAAAAAAAAAAAACTAAGGTGCATTAAGAAAAATGTAGGATGCAAATAATCTCTCAGTAAAATAATTTTATCTTATAAATAAAATGATATAAGTATCTTATTTTATATTTATTATTATTATTATCATTTTTATTGAATTGATATCATTTGACTGCGATATCAAATTCAATTAAACACTTTAATAATAATATAGATAATTAACTACAGAATCTACACAAAAAATATTAACTTCTTTATGAATTTTGCGAACGTCACACTTCCAATATTTGTTGATGGTTTTAAAAAGTGAGGAACAAGCATACATACAACATTAAAAATGCCATTATTTGTTCTCCAAATTCTTTTATTTATAATTTATTCATTTATTGGGGGGTTTTTTGCTATATTGGGAGCTGAAAAAAAAAATCTGAAAAGACAAAATAAATAAAGAGGGGAGAAGGATCCACAACAGGACAAACATGAGAAAAGGGGGATTGCCAATGCTCAATTGGCCTTTGCCTGAATAATTAGATGCTTCATTAGCAACTTTTTGACTTAAAACTTTCCAATTATTCACAAAATCCAGCCATTAGAGTTAACTCTTTGGCCTTTTCTATTTGAGTCCATAAAAAACCCACTATCATTGAGCTAATATACCTTACTGCTTATGAACTCAAATTATGATACAATGTGTTGTTATCAGGCTTTTCACAAAGCAATTTGATTGAGCAAAGTAGAATCCATGGCTTAGGCTTGACTTGTTCTCCTATGAGATCAGCTTCATTCAACACAATCAAATAGTAAAAATGAAAGTCGGCAATGAAACAATGCCCAAGATTCTGTTATTATTCTTCAGATCAAACTCTCAAAATCCTTTCACTTGCCATGAGAGAAAAAAAAAAAAAAAAGCTTGGAAACTGTTATTATTTGTCACTTTCTTTTATTCCTTTCCTTTTCCTCTTACCAAACAAAGTGCTGGAAACTAATATCCACCAGTTATCCATTTGTACTAAGTTGAACAAGACCAGTAAAGTAACCCTATCAGTAGCACAAAGCATGTTGCTTTAGCCTGACTGCAGACAAAGGAGAAAAAGGGTGCACCATGCTCCGTCGCTTCTCCTTCGTGAAAGTAGTAAGGTACCTTCTCATAAGCAGCAGCATTAGCCTCCCTTTTCCTTTTTATTAAACACCAGTTGTTCGCTTTACATTACACAAACTCATCTGAAAGAAAATAAAGAAGCCGAGCTCCAAAATCACATTTTCAAATCATGTTAGTTAAAAAATTTGCCCACAAATTAATTTTTTTATACACGTACTTCAGAAAACAAGCTAAATCCATCTTCATTAAATATTGACACTCATTAATCGTTGAAAAGAGGGTCTCTACAGCACCTTGCTTTGCTTTCATCGGCTCAAACTAAGATACGACTCCTCTAATTAATATTCAACTATCATTGGACACAATGAAAATGGATCATAATTAATCAAAGGAAAAACATAAATCAAATTTACCTTATAATTTCTAACGTTGAAATATTTGAATTTGACTTCGACCACTCCAGTTTTAAGTTATATCTTGAATTAAAATTATTCTTATTATTTTGGTAAACATCCATAGACTTGCATTTAATTTACATAATATTACTTCTGAATTAAGTAAAGATTAGAGTTCAAATCTCTCTCAAATAAAAAAAAATCTTATTTATTATTTTATATTTTTGGTTTTCTTTTAAGGCTGCATGAATGGAGGAAGAGTAAAAAAAAATGTGGCAAAGGGAAAATAATAAAAAGCTTCAAACCAGCATGAAAAATTTCTTTAACGATTTTCTTATTGGGCCAAGCCCAGTCCGCTCAATTTTTTCAGATAAGGTCCGTTATCTTGGGTGCAAGAATCTGGACATCCAAACATGCCTCAAATCTTCTTTGTCTGAATCAAACGTGGCACAACTTTAAGAGCACTGCTGAAGGTCACTAACACCCCACCCCTTGGACATAACTTTACAACGAAGCGCGGACACATATCTTTTCTTTAATGTCCAATAGCTAAAACGAAAGTGCTCAGGAAAAAGCCAAAAAGAGTGAGAGCAAGAGAAATGGCTGTGCAAAGCCTAATAAAAACACTAGCTTTTAGCTCTCAACAAAGACTTTCTCTCTCTTGCTCTTCCTTTCTCTCTCTAGGGATTGAAGAGCAGTAGCAGCCACAAATATCCACTCTCCCAAACACCAACCAACCCCTCTTTGAAAAAAAAAAAATGAAAATGAAAAAAATGGGTTGATAATTCGAATCTCCATCGGATTAGGTAAATTTGTCACTCCATTTCCCTTGGAATCAATCAGGTAATTTTCTCTCTCCGTCGCTATTTCTTTCGTTTCACGCCTCTCTCTGGATCGGCACTTTCTTTCTTTCTTTTTTCGCAACCTGAAAAAATTTTAAAAAAAACCCCTCCTCTTTTCTTCAAATTTGTTTAATCTTTCTTTTTAAGCTTGAAGGAACCTACGTTTTGAGCATCAAAAAAATTTTTTTAGGCATGAAGTGGAAATTGAAACTTTCACTGTTCTTTAGTGTTCTTTATTTTTAGGGTTTGGTGATTTTGATTGGTTTAGTGTTTATGATCTCTGAGTCGTCGTTATGTTTCTGTGAATTTGAAGCTTGTAAAATCACTGGTGAGAACAGCTACTTCTTTACTGTAAATTTGTACATTTCTGATTTCCTTTTTGTTGTTTTTCAGTGATTAGTTCTTTTCAGGGTTTCTAGGGTTAAGCTGGAGCTCTAATTTTTTTGGTCTTGATTACTTATTTATAGAATTTGATCCAGGGTTTAACTTGTGCTTTGTTTCTATTTGAGGAATAAAGGAATGTTTACTTTGAACTTAATAATGGTGAAATTATGAGTGATAATGATGGTATTAAATTTTGAAAGATGTTAATCTTTTTTATTATTATTAATCTTTTTCTTCAGTTTATATTGCTGTATTAGGTTATTAACTTATTATTGCTGTTCGCAGACAATGTTCAATTCTTTGAATAGAAAAATGTGTTTATTTATGTTGAGCTTTATCTTCCATGATATTTAGTTTCTTATTTTTATGTTTTGTGTTCATTTTTCCCTTTTGGTTCAAAGAGAAGAATTTTGTACTCTAGAAATTTTGTTTGGTTGTACATTCTTTCTCTCTACAGTGGGGAATCTGATCCCTGGTGATGTCTCTCTTTCAGGTTTTATGCCATGGAAGATACGCAGTCAGTTGCAACACTCATAGGCTCAACAACCTCTAAGATACAGCAGCTTCAGAAAGCATTTACTGAACTTGAAAGTCATCGTGCTATAACACTTAATCTAAAATGGAAAGAACTTGAGGAACATTTCCATGGGCTTGAGAAGTCCTTGAAGAGACGCTTCCATGAGTTGGAAGACCAAGAAAAGGAGTTTGAGACAAAAACACAGAAAGCTCGAGAAATGTTGCAGAAGCGTGAAGCAGCTGTTGTAGCTAAAGAACAAGCTTCACTGGTGAGGTTACAAGAAAAGAGAGATGCTGCTGTTTTTGCCATTACTAATGCTCTAGAGAAGCATAGGAAAGTATCATCTGAGGAGTCTGCTGATGTCAGCTGTGATGGAGACGGCAGTGAAC